AACTTTGAGTAGCTATATATATTATATATAACATTAAAAACTTGGAAGATGAGAGGCTCAAATCACACAAGATACATTTCACACAATTTCCACGCCATTAGGCGAAAACTGCCAAAAGCCTGTTAGAATTTGTATTTTGGCATATAAGAACTTTAATTTAACATTTTTCTCTATTCTTTCTTTTGTTCTCTGCATTTTCTGACTGCATTTTACAAATTAGTTCGCATGAAGAGAAGAGAAATTTGTGTTAAATGCTTTATTTGCCTACATCATAATGAAGTGAATTAAAAAGCCACACATGTTGTTCAGCAAATTTCTTCAAAAGGAAACCCCTCCATAAAATATGAAGTAGAAGATACAAAGATACACGACACAGACACACAATGATGACTATGGACAAGCATAAAGCAAACTGTGACATTGTCAACATCAAAATTTTGTTTTTTTTTTGGTTGGGGGGGGGGGGGGGGGGGGGGGGGGGGGGGGGGAGGGGGGGTGTTTAACATGGAACATGAACCTCCGCTTGGCTTGACCAACGTGCGGTTCGGCATATGAATTCTTGAGTTTGGGCTGCGCTTTAATTGCGGCAACGTGGGAAACTATTTAAATGGGTTGACATCAAAACTTCCTTTATTTTTATTAATTTTTATTTTTGTTGTTTAATGCACTGTGCAAAATGTTAATGCGCTGTCGGCTAATGTCGGCCTACTCCATCAGGTTGACAAAGTATCTGTGTATCTTTGAGATACATTCACACACAGCTAATGCGCGCCGCTCGCGCTTAACAATTAGACAAGCTAGCAATTTTTTCAGAGGCGCCAGGCCAGGTCTGCTTTTATTATTTTATATCTATGTATTTTCCACTGCATTTTCTATAGGCTTTTCCTTTGTGCTAGTTTATGTTTATGTGGCATTTTATTAATTGCATGCCTGCTACTTAGTTGTTGCAGCAATTTTTCAAAAAATTTATTTGTCATTTTCATGTGGGGCAGCAGGTAAATCAACTTAATTAGCTTTTGACATGGGCGCTAAGATAACTTTTCATGCAATAAATAAACGCAGCAACATTAGCAATGCAAAAAGGTGCGGAAAATGGAAAAACGCACAGTTCTTGGAAAGCTGCTGGCAGCCATATCAAAACGTATTAGAATGCGCCAGACGGGAGTGCTAGATCAGAAAATACTCTGAAACAAACTTCATTACCTTCGGTCTTCATAGTCCGAACTTTATGAAATTTGGAGGGCTTTTATATTAGATACTTGGCTGTTAATATACCAAGGATATACAAGGATAAACCTCCTAAAACTGTTCATTATTTATAATATTGATACTTTTTAAGCTCATAGATATTGCCTTCTGCCTATTGCATTCATTATTACAAAATCATGATACCCTCTAAGCCATTTTCAATGGGTATTGGCTATAAAAAATCGCATAATTTATGAGCGTATGAAAACTATGAAAACCTCAAGTATTGCCTACTAATAGCCATGACAAATAGCTAAATTAATGAGCGAGGGAACACTATGTGGTTGCAGCAGTTGCTGTTCTTTTTCTTGTTGTTGTTTTCCTAGCTGGTCTGGCACATTAGAGGCATGCACTCATCATTAACATTATCAGGCGGTTGATATCAGCGAACATTTTTCAGTCAGCAGCCTGAACCGTGACTTTTTATCGAAAGGTTAGCCAGCAGAATAGGTGGCTGCAGCTCGCAAATGTTAAGAGACAAAATATATCTTTTTTTAAAAATACGTATGAACATTTTCTACAAATTAGAAGAAACAGTTCGATCAAACAGCTGTGTGCGAAATCAAACAAGTTGCTAATACAATGGGCACAGCCCGGAGGGGTGAGGGGTTAAGCTTCAAGGCACAGATACTCTACACACACACACACACGCACACAAACATGCACGCATAAGCTACAATTAATCTTAGAGTACGCGGCGTTGTGGAGGGGGTTGCCTTTTGGAATAAATTTCACATACTGCGCCCTGCGACTGGACAGACCTGGCAGACAGCACAGACAGGCAGCGAACAGAGGGACAGACAAACCGCCAGATAGATAGACAGACAGACAAGTGAGACGGCAGCGCGGGCAAGAAAACGAGTTGTGGCAAGTATCTGAAAGTACGTGTATCTCAGCTTGGAAGTGAATCAGCTGAAAGGACGCAACGGCGCACATTATGGCATTTTGGTTTCAAAGCGATTCTCAAAATGCAGAGAGAGAGAGAGAGAGAGAGAAGGAAGGCATATAACGCATAGCTGACAATGATATGCGCCTAACCGCTTTACTATTTATTTTGAAAACGATTTTTTTGTGTGTGCCTCAACTTGAGACGCAGACTTGAGACTGCGACGGGCATAGAACAAAATAGATTGCTATCGTGGCAATATTATCAGCAGCAACCGCTGCCCCCAAAAGATACACAACAACAACATATGCATGTATCTGTGAGCTACATGCGGCAAGCGGCGAGTTGCAGAAACACCTTCAGAACGCAGCGAGGCGGTCACCGAGCCACATATTTTGATTGTTGTTGTTGCTGTTGCATTCTAGTTGTTGTTATTGTTGCTGCGCATGCGTACAAAATGCTGGGTGATTAATAATAATAAAAGCGCCTACAATGCATTGCGAACCGCCAACGTACAGTGGTATCTATGTATCTGCAAGATACTTTTTGCTATTTGGCATCGATAAGAAAAATAAAGGGAATGGCAGCTAGTGATATATAATTATTAAATCTCTATTTATATAAAATAAAATATATATTTATATATTTACATATTATTTTGGAAAGAGAAGGCCTTTAATCTGTATAAGCAGGGAAATCATATTAATACAATTTCCTTTTAGTTTCTAACTTTTTTTAGAGCATATTTATATAAGAAAAGGGACCGAAGTTATTATATAAAAAGATAAATATATATAAGAATAAATTTGTATAATTAAAGGTAAATATTATTTACTTGAAATTAATGGGAAAATTTGCCTTTTTGAATGCCCCATAAATCGTACTATATATTTATATAGATTATTTATTTATTTATTTTGAAATGGAACAGAAAATTTAAATTAAATTTATTCAAAATATTTTGAAGTCAAATTTATAAAAGTTCTTAACGTGAACTGAATTCAAAATATTGTAAATTTAATAATTATAAAAAAAACAAAAATAAGCACCAGAAAAGTTCGGAGAATACTGAAGCTTATTGAGTTAGGTTTTCTCACTTTTCAATAACTGCAACCACTGTACGCATAGTTACGCTCTGCAGCTGTAATTTGAAGAGATACGAATATGACAACTTCAACTTGGCGTTCTACTAAATGCCAGAACCGCTGCGTGCAGCGTTAATCTAAACTCATGAATGCAGTTTTTCTTTTACTTTTCTGCCTCAACGCTGAAGTACTCCAGACCTCGCCGCTCTCTCCCTACCCCTCTTCTGTCTACCAGCTGGTCTCTCGGCCAGGTCTAAGACAATAAAAAGGTGGGCGCTTCATTTAGCGGTCGCAGCCGCACAATTTGCATGTTTGCACAACAATTGTTTGGCTTGATACAAAAGCGCACCGTATTTTATTTAGATAATAATAATTCTTTTTTATTTTTTTTATTTTCACTCTTTTATCTGGCGATAAGCGAGTCGAGGAGACGTGGCGGGTGCGTGCGCCGGGGGCTGGCTTCGGAACGAAGCTGTAACGGCGTTTTGACCAGGTCGTGGCGGCAAAAGTATCTGTGTAAGTGCATTACATAAGTGCCGGCACTTTTTGAGATTTTCTGCGGAAATTTTATATGCAAAAGTAGCTAAGATTTGAAATTGTGCCTGCACCTTCAAAAATACAAAAGTATCTCATACAGATTTTGTTGAGAGCGCGGGTTTTCATTTGTGCGACTTTTCGTAGGTAACTACAATGAAAGCTGGCTAAGGCAAAAGTAGCTTAGAATTGATTCTTAGCTTCAGATGCAAAGGTATCTGGAGAAAAACGTAGCATCAAAAATAGAATTGAGTTTCAGATAAAATAGTATCACACAAACGATTTGTGAAAATTATTTAGTGAAAAGTAAGTATTGTGAAATATTTTTAGTAGAAGCAAAAGTATCTAAAAAATCGAAGCAGCCTAAAAGTATCTTTTAATAATAGTCAAAAGTTTAATTATCGTTTTTAAGTAAAAATATTTATTTTGTAAGTAGAATTTTAAAGGTACAGCAGTGATTAACTAATGCCGAAGTAGTGCAACTTTAATGCTGCTAAGATACAAAAGTATCTTTAAGAATTTAGTTCAAGTAAATTAGACTTTTGGTTTTTTAAATCATCTACAAACCATCAAAAGTAAGTATTCGGCAAAGCAAAAGAAATTTAGAGTTCAATTGGGTATCAGATAGTAAAATGGAAGCGTATCTGAAGCTGAGTTAGCCGGAAAAAGAAATAAAAAGTATGTTTTAGTAATTAGCAATGCTAATTTTGAGTTGTCATTGGATATTACAGCGGTAGCTCGCTAAGAGCTACATTTGCTTGAATTTCTCTAAAAGCACACATTATGGACTGGTTGCACTTCAGCTGTATATACTGTATATTTTTGTTCATAGTTGGCAGAGTATCTCATGGATGCTGTCAATCTTAAAGCCCAACTCTCTGCATATTTGCAACATATACACAGACACACTAGCGCACTCGCGCACTCTCACAGTCGCACACCCACTTTAGACAACTTGCCATACATCACCGAATTTTATTGCCAACTCATCAAACTGCCATAATTCACAGTAACTGTCAAGATCAGCACGCTTTTGAGTAGTTTCTGAGTTCTGCCTGTAAAACTATTTGAACTCGAAGTCAACATTTCTGTTTGGTCATCCATGCAGATACAATGATACATAGATACACACGGCTACAAAGCTGAAGAAGCTACAAATAAAATCAACTTTCTTCAGATTAACTGCCAATTGCAGTCTTATAAGAATAAAACCACTCCTCCTTTCACAACCTCTCTGCTGTACTCACCTTCACACGTAAATTGTCCGTAGTGCTTGCCGGAACTCTTGTCGCCGCAGACGACGCACTCGATGTTCTGTTTGGAGTCAATCTGGGAGCCGCTGTTGCTGCTCTGCGAGTGGGAGCTGTTGGCCTGGGAACTGGGCGTGGTGCTACCACCATTGCCACCCGCCGAGCCGCCCAAGCAGCTGCCCGACTGGGAGCCCTTGATGATGGGCACCAGATCCGCGCCATGGCCGGATTGTGCGGCGCTTGTGTGGTGTGCGGATGTGGAGCCGCCGTTGGCGCTGGACAAACTGGAGAGATCCTCCTTGATGACGTGATGCGCGCTTTGGTTCAGGTTCGCCGTGGAGGCGCTCAGTCCGGACAGATCCTGTTTGATGCCCGCCGACTGTTGGCTGGCCACGCTGCTAGGCGTTGTGCCGCCCCCGCCGCCGCCGCCACCGCTGCTTGTGTTGGTGCCTGCCAGCGAGCCGGGTCCGGCCGAGGCATGCAGATGGCCGCCTAAGTTGGGATCATGCCAGGCGCCGTGAGGCGGCACGCCCAGCGTCATGGAGCGCGACAGGCCCAGATCGAAGGCGGACAGCTCGGCGCCGGATTGCGGGCGCGGATTGAAGAAGCCGGGAGCTGTGGACGGTGAGGCGCACATGACGCCGCCACCGTACACGCTCAGGGAATTGTGCGTAATAATTTTGGCGGCCGGATCGGAACACGTGGAATAACCGCTGGAATACACTTTGCACGGCCTCCACGCACAATACGCAGAAAAGTCACCAAAAGACTGCTTCAACAATTTCTCAAATTATTTTCCAAAATATTAATTTCAATATATTTTTTGCTTTCTCACTTTTTGGCAAAGTATTTGCTTGAAATATTTTTTCTTTAAATTAATTTTTTGTTTTATTTATAATAAATATTTTTATATTGTAAAAATTTTATTTAATTTTTGCTCTGCACATTTTACACACATAGCACGAAAAACACTTTTGTGGTTTTTGAATTTTGCTTGTGGCGCGTTTTTTCTTCTTAGATTTTTAAATATTTCAAAATTTTTGTTAAAAATTTATTTCATTGCGATTTTAATTTATTTTGTTGCACACGCACGAATTTTATTTCTTTGCGACTTGTTAAATATTTATTTTTTCATTGCTCGCCTTTGCGCTGGCACTTTGATGTAGAAAATTTTGTATTTGTTTTATTTTTGGTTTTCAAAGAAAATTCAAAAATTTTTTCTATCTTTGTGGAAAATGCGCGTCATGCGAGCAGCGAAATCTCAGCTGTTCTCGTAAGGCCTTTTAGAGCCTGACTGGCAAAACATTCGTGGCAAAAGGTACACGACCCGACCCGACTCGACCGTTTCGACCTAACGACACATCACACAAATCTCTCTCATTCCACCACTCGCGTAGATACACACGGCCAAAGATACAGATACAGATACAGCTGTACCCCGGTTGCCGCGGCGCGATTGCTGCACCGCTCGCACCCACAGCATTGCAATGGCCCATATCGCGTTTGAGTGAAAATCGGCGCTCGCACTCGCACACACACACATGCACACACACGCGCGCTCTGGCTCTCTTTGGTGGCGGGGCAAGACCTTCGATGCGTTTGGCTGATTTGCTCACGCGGACTCACCACCACCACCATCACCACTAGCAACAGTCGCACCACCACCAGCAGCAGCAGCAGCTCACTTTACAGCTGCATTTCATGTACGCTCTCTCTCTTTCTCTGTTGCCCTCACTCTGTGAGTGGAAAGCTGGCTGGCTCTCGCGCTCATTGGACTCCGTTGGGCGTCCAACAAGAACTTAATTCTGCTTGGATTTGGTGTGCTGCTGCTGCTTCTTCTCTTATTAGTTTTTTAGTTGGCGCATCTGTTAGTTGACTTACCGTTAAGTTTCTTATCTAACTGCACCCAAAAACAACTTTTTCGGCTACTTTAAAATGTGCTCCACCTACCTAGAAAAAAAAAGTATATAAATTTTGACATGTACGGTTTTCTGGTTGGCTGCTTAAAGTGCGGCGTGCTACACATTTTCTTGCTTCCTTTGCTGACAAATTTGTCGTGTGCGCTTATCTTTGGTCTGCTTTAAAATAATGGCCGATCGGCGAGATATACTTGCGTATATACTCTTAAAGCCGACTGTCATTGGCTGTGCCCACAGATAAGCTAAGCAAACTAAAAAGTCTGGGCCTTGCGAAGTTTCTCTTTTTATTTCATGGAGCAAAATATAATGTGTGAATATACAATTGATGTTAAAGCGAAGGTTTATCCATTAAATGAAACTTTAAATATTATTTAAAATATTACGTACACATTTATATAATTTCTTCAATTTATAAAATAAATTTCAAAATAAGCTTGGGTTTAGTCTTTTGTTCTCTCTGAAATATCAATCTCTAAATATTTGATAAGGGCTAAATAATTCTGGAGATTTACTTAGTTTTTTAAGACTGTATTTAATAAAAACTTTGGAGTCTACCTTAATGTTTGTATAGTAAATTTGAAATATTTGATATATTTTTAAAAACTAGCATAAATTCTTAAATAATGAGCAAGTTTTTGGCAAATTCGGTATATGTACGCTCTGCTCTTTTATAAATCAAGCCCTAATTGTTTAATTTAATCAGAACTTAGTTTTCTTGAGTTTTTGACAATTGAAGAGTTCAATAAATCGATGTAATACCCAAAAATCGATGTAATACTTCTTTAAGCTTTATCTGCTTGCTAAAATGTGCTACATATCTCTAAAATATATATATTATAAATCTTTCCAGAACTATATATGAAGTTTAGATTTCTTGAGTTCCCTCAGATTTCTTTAGCTTTTACTCACATTAATAAAAAATTTTTTTCCCTCAATTATTCTTTCATGTTTTTTTTACTTAAATTTCGCCCCATTTACTATTACTTCGGGCTGCTCCAAGTGAAGCCCATTGACTGCTTGCGTCTTAATCAAATTAGAATAATAACTTATGCTAATTGGATGAGGCAAGTGTGCCCTTATTAGACACCAGCGATGTGTCGCGACATGCAATTGGATACACTTGAAAACTGCCAAAACATGAACTCATAATTTAATTTGATTTTAACGAGACGGCAAAGCGATGCCACATGTGGCACGTTGTGGCCCACACCTGACCAAGTCTGGCATTTGGCATGCTAAAAGCTGCACTATTACAAACGCCAACATAAATATATTTTATTTTCTTTTACAACATTGTCGAATTAGCATATTGCAGCAATTTGCACGCAAAAGCGTAGAAATGGAAACAACAATTTAAATACGTTGAGGCCTAAACAATTTGAAAGCACGCGAACTTTAGCTGCAGGGTAGTGTCAGTGCAAGGGGGGTGGGGGTGTTCTAGGAAGCTGCAGCAAAAATATTGAAAATATTGTCGACCCAGTTGAGAGGCCAAACAGGCCCTCAACCCACAATTGTCAGATATCTTTATTTTTGGGGTAGGGCAAGCGGAGCAAACGTACAATTGGATGATCAGCGAGATGGAGTGCAGTCAGTTGAGGGGCGGCGCGGGTGGGCAGGGCGCAGGTAGTTGCTAATAAGTCGAGTGTCAATTCGAAGTGCTTGCTATGTGTTTCCAATAAGCAGTAGCACACTCACTCACTCAAGTTTCGTCAAGTTTCGTTGAGTCACTCTCTCTCTCACACATGCACACACACACACACACTCACACTCAACAGCTCTCACTCAATGCGAGACAGCCTGGCAACGCCTTCGATATTGCATCCCGTTCACGCTGCCAGCGCAGCTATCTCGCTTGCACACGATACAGCGCAGCGGCTGGCTTATCATTAACTGTATCGGAATTTGCTTTTTGTTGGCGCTCTTCGAAAGGCGAAAAAAATAGCAGAAGAAGAGCAGCAAAAAAAGTGGCAGCAACTAAAAATGTTGAGTTTGCTTTTTATTAACACCGCTAGATGTCTCTCTCTGGCGCCCATTAAAGTCTAATTCAATTGGATTTCTGATGCTGCCGCTTAGTCAGCAGGAGGGTGGTGAGTGGGGCAGGGGCGTTGGGGGTTTAACACGTCCTGTAGCTGGCTTATTTTTTTATGCTAACGTCCTGCCTTTGAACCTAATCTCTTGGTTCTCGGCACCTCTTGTTAGTGGCTCGTATGTTACTCGTTTCCCCCTGCTACCCTCCAAACCTGCGCCCTCCCTTCTGGCCCAGCTCCTTTGGCAATGCATTGTTGTGGTCGTGGCTCTGCGCAGAGTTCGCGCAGCCAGGCAGCACCTCCACCCTTTTGGGTTAAATACTGACAACCCCATTTGAGCGCCTCTTTGCACTCGCTGCCCGCTGCCCGCTGCCCTTGCCTGCTGCTGCCCCTTTGGCACCTAACCCCCAACTTTGCCATCCATGTTGGCAACTGGCCAGTTCCATTCTTCTTTCTACTCGTAATTTTTTTCAATTTTTTTTTTTGCTTCCTCCTCGTTGCGGCTGCGTTGGGCAGTTCATTGAAAGTAGGTGCCTGCACGTTAAATGTTCTCTTTAAACAAAAAAAATTATTTCCGTACGGGCACAGTGCTTTGATATGTGCTTTAAATGGCGCCAAATACTAATCCAAAGAACATATCATAAAAGATAGCTAGGCTAAATATTAATTGATTAGATTTTATTAGATTATTACATCTACAATTTCAAGTTTCTAGCTCTTATAGGTTCTGAGATCCTTGCGTTCATACATACGGACGGACGGACAGACAGACGGATATGGCTAGATCGACTCGGCTATTGATGCTGATCAAGAATATATATACTTTATGGGGTCGGAGATGCTTCCTTCTGCCTGTTACATACATTTGGATTTTGCACAAATACAATATACCCTTATACCCATTTTTAATGGGTTCAAGGTATAATAATAAATACAATTCGCAAGTTGTTATCAACGCAGCAGACGCAACGTTCTTATTAGCGAGCAAACACTGTAGCAGAAAGCTTAACTTATTTTAATTAATAATACATTATAATTCTCTTATAATCACAAGACTCAAATAATTTGGACTGAGAGCTAGGAGCTTAAGCATGAATTAAGCCTGTTACAAAATGGTAGCCTAATTGAAGCTTAATATTTTATTTATGTTTAAGTATTATTTATTTTTCTAGCTTTGCGGTTAAGAAAATGCTGTGATTTATTATTAATAATTTATGCTCCTTATAATTACATAATTAAGTATCAATTTATATATTTGCTTATCATTAACTCTTTTTCTTTTGCAATATAACACTGTGTCTGTATATAGAAATGTAAAAATGCTGATACAAATTTAGATTTAAAATTTTGTAGATAATAATCATTGCCTATGTCGAAAATATATTGTTACAATATGTATATGTGCAAATATTTATACCATATACGATCTACCCCCGGTCGTGTGCCCTAAGATGGAATGCGGGTCATTTATTTTTTTAACAATGCTATTAGCTTTATGCCCAGAAAAAATATTATTAAATTCTGGCCAAATAGCCTAATTTAATTGACAGAAATAAGTGCAAGTTTCTGTATAGTTTTTTTTTTTTTTTCACGGGCAACAATAGTTAAATATGGCACAAGTTTTTTACTTTTGAAGTTTCGCCAGTGTCTTAAAACTTTCAGTGTTTGCTTTAACTGCAGCTAGTTGAGGGTGCTGCTCTGTAAATAGAAATACAATTTTAAAAATATATATGCAATATATATACATGCATTTATGCACCAAGGACTCGAGCAGGAAGTGCACTTATATAACTCACACAGATACACACATATATATATATATATATATATATATATACAGCTTCAGCTATAAAGCATCTACATAGCTACGGAGATACTTCGCACACAAACCCAAACT